CATGGAGCAGGGCTTATCCTCTCTCAGGAGCCAGCCGCTGTAAACTTAACCAAACGTAAATCCTGATTCATTATGTTGGATGATTCATTCATACTGGTCTTGTTCAAGGTCAATATTGTTACTCATCTGCGACGATTATTCGCAAATTTGAAAGTTCAATTCCAGTTGCGAGAACGAAAAGCTGCCGTATGTTTCGCAACGAGGTCGTTGCTTTGAAATGTGATGCATCAGGTGATGCTTATGTACACAGTCATCTTCGAAGTGAGAAGGCCGGGAAACAGCTTTGTTGATTTAGCATCTATAAATAACTCGTGTCATGCACATTCACTCACTGTGTGGGTGCGACATTGAACAGCTTCAGGTGCAACTGTGATTTTGCAAGCTGCACATGTCTGGTGCGCAGACAGGGCTTCACTTGTGTGTGAATGGGTTGCTCGTATTAGGATCTATGTGATTGAGAAGCAGATGTGTGGAGCATTAAACAGATCGGGAAAATGTTTTGATCATTTCATACTAACCGACTACTCTCAGAATCAAAATGCAAACTGCTACTACTCAAAACACGAGCTCACTACTAAATCTACCCTTGAACAGCGGATCAGAGTGGTCAATATAATCTATGATTGAACTGAAGCTCACAATCTGTTGTGAGCTTTGTTTTTTTCTCGCTGCATTTTACTATTATCATTTACTTTCACAATTAGATTGAATGTGCAACGCAATTCTCACTAGATCGGTGAGTAATGTCCTGTCTACGACACCCGGCAAAGTGAAACTGGCTCACATCACAAACTTGCTCGTCAAATAGATTAGTTTTGATGTATCTTGACTGTCGACAAGAAATCTTTCAGGCGATAATGCAAAACATTATTTACTAAAAGAATCATAGTGTAGCAAAATGCCATAGGTCATGTTGCTCTTGTTGCAACCGAAACGGAATCCGGGGTAGGGGAGAAGCAGTGACTAATATGGCTCATGCAGTGTGTGTTCTTCAGTGCTGACTGAATACGCATCCGCTACGGGCCGGTATTGAGCTAACGATTAGCCTGACACATGTTTTATATGCACGCACGCTTGCGTCTCTGTGTCTGAGTGGTCCCACGAACCGTATTGACCTTGATCCACTTACTCTAACGCTTCTACAGGTCAAACTTAATCGCCACCGTGACGGGTCACTCTTAGCCACCAGCCATTTGCACTCGACTCACGCTGTTGTTCGTGGTTGCGTTGACTGCACAATCGATACTCTTCTCTTACACTAGTTAGTAAATCGATCATTATACCTCCAAGGTCTGTAAAGAGAAGTGGTTCCGCAAGCAGGTCGATCTCTGTCACCGTTTTGTCAGTCTGAGACCCTTGAACTGTCTGTTTTGAGAATCGTGCGAAAATCCGCATCAACTTCTAAACGCCTTCACCCTAATTTGGTTGATTCACCTAGGAATGGTTACAGAAAAAACAATTCGGCGTCGACAATTCGTCATTGCATACGTCTGTGTATTGAATTTTGTACCTCCGATCAACTGATCCGTAGCAATCCTGTTTACGATGACGTGTGCATTCAGAATGACCGTTACCCAATCCTAATCATCCGCCACTGATGTTGCTCCAACCACAAGAAGAACGAACTGAGGACGATTAATCTCGCTCCCCCCCCCCTCAAACCGCCATTTTTCTCTCGTTATCCAATCCTCTTCACAGTATGTGCCCCGGGTTGTTATCATGACACGTCAGCTAGTCAGTTGATGGTTCTTTTGGAACTCTTATCCGTCCGGTTTTATACGGAACATTCTCAAATTGCCTTGACGCATGGCAAGTATATATATATATATTTCACACTTGTCTGAGGACAGACTGTGTGCCAAACAAATCATGGTACAATGATCTTTATAAAAGAAAAATGTTCCATGATTGGCTTGTGGGCTGAGTACTGCCAGGTTGCCCAGGCCAAGGCAGGTGAATTTTCTTGAGGAATCCACAACCGGAGCCTTCGGCTAGTCAAAGCCTGACGCGCAAGGTAGCGGGGCGGTGTGTGAAAACCGCAGTCCATTGGGAGCCGTGGTCCAGTTTATCGGATCATACGCCTTTCGGACGGGGTCAGACGTCCAAGGTGCCCAATAGACCTCAATGCCCAATCGAGCCGGTGACCACTGTCACAACCGAAAATGTGTGGGTGTGGTTCGTACGTCTCCTCATGGTTGGTTTGGAATCAGGGCTTTTGGCCGACTTCCCTAGGTGAACTGCCAGTGGTCCACCAACCCGGCTATAGTCCCGGATATCGGCTTTTCGTCCTCTCACTTTGGTGGGAAAACACCGCCGCGAGGAGGCATAGAGTAGGGCTTCCTCAGCAGAGGCTATTTGAGACACTTGGTCGTATGGAGCATTTCGTGAGGTGCAAGGGCAGGGTGNCCAGCCTCAACCCTAGACACCCACCCCCAACCATACTGAGGCCTTGGGAGGCATGACAAGTAACCTTGAATCAATTCTAAACTCGAGGGAACGATGGCTTCGTCACATATTGCGTACTCCCGCCCATCGATTACCTTTCCGTACTTTTTTTGCACGTGCCGGCCAAGGCTGGAAGAAACGCCGCTACGGCCAGACCATGGCATGGCGTACAGGTATGAAGAAGCTGGCTTCAGCTTTGGTTTTGGTTGGCACAGCCTGCCTTCCATGTTGGGACTCAAAGGATGAGGATTGTCTTTTTTAAGAGACGCTGAGAGATATGGCCTGGAATGGAAGTTAGTGGCG